CGGTACATCAGAGAAACTTTGACATTAATCAAAAATGGACGGCGGACTAAAGATCGAGGCATTTTTGTAACATACAGTTTATAAAAATCGAACGGTACACACACGGGTAGGGAATCATTAAAGGATCTAACAACGGAGATGTATACAATTACTTCCCGTATAATTATATATCTATATATAATTATTAAATAATAGACTAAATCATCATACACGCTGTTCATGCCTTCGGCGGATCGTAAATTGATGAGAAAAGAATTAACGCCGGAGAATCCCGTTTGGCAGCATGACAAAGTACGAGCAGTACGATTATTTTACAATATCCATTTGTTTTATTTCTCATAACACTTTAGCTAGTGCTATTTTTCGCCATTATTTATTTTGTTATAGAGTCCTTTATAATCGAATCTATACACTTCGATAATCGATTGATATTTTACATTGGCGCGAAATCGTTCACAATCCATCCCCTATCCCTTTCTATTCTCTCTTTACAATTATTTCATTAATTCAATTGCAACAATATTTCAATTGCAACGTTCGTCGAAATTGTTATTACGACTTCACTCGCTGGAAAGCCTAATTTTACAATACAAATTAACAAGATGTCATCGTTTAAGGAATGACATAGCGACTGATAATATAATTTTTCATGAGTTTCGTCTCTGCTCTCTTGTTTGCTTTGTTGTCTGCAGATGATTAAATTACAAGTGAGTACGTCGCGCAGTTATCACCGCGGAACACTTTCGTTTGGCGATACGCAGTCTACGAACGCCCTCATTTTATTATTACTGATACTCAAAATGCAAAATCGCACTTATTTAATTCCGTTTCTATTGCATATAATTATTCATATAACTAATATCTTTCACGATTTTTTTCTTTTAAAGATGGTATTTGAGATAAGAACACTTGCGTATTGCGATAATAACGATACTGTAATGGTACATAAATTGAAAGAATATAGAACGGGGAAACATAGTTAAAAAAAAAATATTCTATACAACCGTCATGAAAAATAGTCGATTTTCTACATTCCGAGTCTGCTGTTTTCCTCTAAATTAAGATTCTCTCCTCGTGATGCTTTCCTATGACTCATATTGTATACTATAATCTTGAGTAGATTAGTTAATAGGCGAATAAAAGACAGAACGAGCAACGATTTCTATTCCACATATACATACATACACATATATATATATATATATATTAATGGAATAAGAGTGGGGACAGTGGAGGAGAATCTTAGAATAGAAGATCTCAGAATAAAGAGGAAATCAACTGTATTCATCATGCTGATACTATTCAACAAATTACTGCTATTGTGAAAAAGTTTTTCTTACTGAACAAATAAATCTCACGGATTAAAATTATTGTTGATATAACACACAAAACCGTAAAAAATTGGGTATCATTCATTAAACGAGGAGAAATTACCTAACCCAAGCGGATACGCGCAACGAAAACGCAAGTCCATATTTTGAGGTTATTGATAGTAAATAATCAATAATAATAATAATAATAATAATAATTACAATCTATCATATCTAAATGCGTCAGTGTCTCTCGATAAGGCTGTCACTGCTGCATAAGTAGATGGCATAAGTAGATTTGAATCATGTGACATGTCCCAAAATATCCCGAATGACCCATGCTCAATTAATGAATTATAACTGATCACGCAATTTCAGAGTTGCGCATTTGTCTTGTAATGGTTTTATACTCTGATAATTCAACACTGGCAGGAATTGGTCTCACGCACGAATTCCTTAATTCGGTCACTCCTTCACCTGTGTTTTGAGATGCTGTAAAAACTCGTAGTAACTAAGAGCAGATTCGAATCGATCCTCTATCAATCGCTCGACGAATAACGTCCTAAAATGGCTATCGTCCCTGAAAAATAATTCACTGAGATGTATCGAGAGATAATAGCACATGAGCATCAGAAGATAAAGGCAATTTGAACTTTATCAATATCTGTAATAATAATATCAACACTTGTATATTTATCAATTAGAGTTCGCTTACCTAATAACTTGTACAGATACGTAGTATGGTTTCTCCTCTTGCAAGCTAAACACAAAGTTTCGCAAACGTTCGCTTTCTACTGTATCCAATTCCGGTAGTTCGTACTGCGAGACAAATTTAATATAAATTAATAAGATTTTTATCAGTGAATAAGAAATTATAATCCATATTATTCTCAACAAATGTTTAACTGAGGAAAGTAGTAAAACACTCACCATTTCTTCTGGAATAGATGTAAACGCCGAAACTCCCAACACATTAGTACAGAAAATCGGATTGACGTTCTTGCCGATGAAAATGAAAATTTTATCACCAGCGTCCATAAGGAAGACGCCTCGGCTGTCGAGTTTTTCCGCGGAGAGATTAAGTCGTGGCGGTTGTGGACAGACTTTGCCGTCAATATCTTTTGCATTTCGGTCGTCAAGTATGTGAACAGGATACAAGTCGGGATAAATCATCTGTATCAACTGTGCCAAGGGTAATGTTTTCAATTGAAACATAGCGAACACACGGTCATCCAAACGCGTGCTTGTGCCAGATCTGAACGCTACCTGCAAATTCATAGCAAAGATATTAATGATGATCTACGTATCTAAGTGTAAAATATAAATCTATAAATATAAATCTATAAATATAAATCTATATACAAGTCATTGATAACTTACACTTTTCAATAATGCGATGATGTACAATGGTAACAGTTTTAAACTTGCTGGAGCAACAAGTCCCCCGCCAGAGGAAGATTGTGCTAATTTGTACGCGGATAAAATATCGATAGCGACGTTTATTAATGCATCTCTAGCATCTGATAAAGATGACTGAAGCGATCGATCAACAGCTGTAAAGATATTTCAACGAATGTTTCTTAATTTTATTTAATCAGATATTAATCATGAAAATTTTATTATAAGGATTTATCGCTCAAAACACCATGCACCTGTAAAAGTTTAACTTACCCATTTTTGATAACAATCCTACTATACATTGCTGATCCGCAGAGTGCAATACATCTGATAGACTTGCCACAACAGGTAGGCACAGAGTGTGTACTCTGATTCTCCGTTCACCTTTAAATAAAAATATCGAAAATATAAAATGTACAAAAAAACGTTAAGATAACAATTACCTTTGCTTGAGGTGTAAAGGAGAGATGCTTGGAAGCACACACTCTGCACATCAGAAAGATTTTCGTCAATAGAGATTTGCATGCCGAAACCAGCGTCCGGATTAATATTTGGCAAGCATAGAAGATCAGTTGATCGAACGAAGAAGCTACCGTGGAAGGCGTGAATACTGAGACCACGAGTACAACGAAGTCGCATCACTGCTTCGAAGCCAATCTTTCTCGTCAAGTAACGACGGAGTAATCTTTCTAAAGTTTCAACATTTTGTAATTTTGACGCTCGAAACAATGGCAGATGATAAATGCAGCCACCCGTAAACTTCGACACGCAAGCTGCAAAATAAGTAATCGGATATTACAATAGTACGTATATACGTATATAATATCTATCAATATTTATGAGAAAAATACTTATACAAGAAAAAGGAATTATAAAAATGATATGCAAATTTATAATTTCAGCTTAATATTCAGCGTAATATATCGTTTTATTATGATCGTATCTAATCGAAATAGAGTCACTTACATAAAGTTGCCAGATCACTGTATTGACTGTTCAATAAGAACAAGTCAATAGCAATCTGTTGTCCGCTGCAATCCAAGGCAAATCTTTTGTAAAAATCTGTTGCAGGATTAAGATGCGGCACGTCTTTGTTTACTCTGGTATTGGGATCCTCCCTTGGTTGCAAGGCTCCTGGGCCGATATTAGGCAAACATGTCTGAAAAACGGTGACACGTCCTCCAGTAGCGGAAAGAAGTTTGAGAGCGGCTTGAAGACCGGCACCGAGAGCATTGTTGGTATCATGACTACCGCAAAATTTGGTAGGAATTTGCGCGAGAAGATCGCGGACAAGCTCTTCGCGTTCTTTCAGATTTACAATTAGATTTTCCGGACATGGTAGAAATACGTCGTCGATATCCAGCATGATCATCTCGTGCGGTTGCGAGACATTATCGGGCATGCTGAAGAAGTGCAGAGCGGAATCGACAGCGAGAAAACCGACTTGGGTGCGGCTATCGCCAGGCAGACGCGACAGTTCATCGGTGATAATGTTGCAAACAATTTGTAAATAGCCGCTTTCCACTGCAAGACGTGAAACATCCATAACAAAAAGATAGACAGCGGGCTGAGGTGGACGGACCTATAATTAATGATATCAAGGATTAAATTTCTGAAAAAGAGATAGTCTCATTTCTATGTAGATTTCACAAATGTATAAATATTACACATCCTAAACTTCAATTAATTATTCAATATTATATATTAAATAATAATTTAAAAAACTTATTAACCATATATTCGCTAGGCGCAATAAATTCTATCGTGCCAGTTCTAACTTCTGGTCGTCGCGATGGGTCGCCATATGATTTCGTCACAGGATCGAATTGAAATTCTTCAGGAACTATAACAAAATGCAAATATATAATTTGCCATGCAATATTAAGCGATAGATATGAACAAATTTTAGTATTTTAGTTTTTTCAGTTTATTACGTTCATTTAGTCTGAAACAAAGATTGCATTTCCATCTTCTCATGTCGACGAAATATACGAATGGATTGATATACGTTCGACAAGCTCGACAGCGCACGATCGTATTGCATTGAATCACTGCCAAATGCTGCTGTGACAAATAATAAAAATTTCATTATAATTTTTATTTTAGACTTGTACATTTAATTATCAAGATTTATTTGTTATATCACTCACGTTTAAATCCTTAAAAGGATGTATCAGTACGCCAAATGGCAATCTTGATTTCTGTAGAAGCGAATTCGATTCTGGGACTTTTGTCAACGTACATCTGAATATGCTGTAATTATTCCATATATCTGATAAAAACTATATTCATAACTATATTCATAAAACGGTTTTAGAAAAATAAAATTCTAAATTCCAATCTTTTCTATTATCTTTTATATTTTAAATACTTTGATTCTCTTATGATAGAATTGTAATCCTCTTTAAATATAAAAAGAAAAATATAAAGAAAATATAAAGAAAAGGAAACTTACTCAGGATTACAATTTACGTTGTCCAATAATTCCAGATGTAATTTAATCTTTGGTGGCTCGATTTTTTCAGGCGGTAATATATTTCGGCACTGTAAAAGATCTATCGATTCCATCCCCTAAAAAATATTATTAATACATATTGAGAAAAGTAAAATATATAAATTGCATATATGATTGCGATGGTATAGTATTTTACAAAAATAAATACCCATAATTTGTTGAAGCCACCTTGCGCAACGTTCAGATTACTCATTTGATTATTTAATTGATTTAATTGGTCGGGGTACATATTAGGATATCTTTTATTTGAAGAGTCTAATGGGACATTCATCATTGGGCCGGGATATTGTGAACGAGGATCGTACTAAAAATGAAAATTAATTAAAATAAACATATTGTTTTCTCAAGAAAAGATTAGGTAAAATTTGATTGTAATATAATTGTTATATCTTTAGATCCATTACCGTTTGTCCCGGAAGGGGTGGCATTCCCGATGGCGGTAATCTTGCGCCATGTAACTGGTTAGCTCCCAAAGGCGGCGGCGGCATCATCGCGGTATTGGCAGTGTCTTGTTGCGGGTATTTCCTCTGGCCAGCTAGATTTTGATGTATGTTTTGACTTTGAGAAATATTTCCCAAACTCGTGGGATCCATGTAGCCAGTAAGTAAATTTTGTTGGGGCTTCAAAGGCTGAGGACTATAATCCTGAGGACTTCGTGGACCTACGCTAGGAGCTTGTGCACCATATAATAAATTCTGCGTGCTAGAATTTGACATTGACGATGCACTAAACATATTCTGCTGACTTCCGTATTTGAATTGTGGATTACTTAAGTTTTCGGAAGGACCAACTGTCGATTGTGTTTGGATGTTCTGAGTCCTTGGAGGCTGTACGCTAGAAACCACTGGTTCTTGCTGTACGTAATTGTTTTGATTCAAATGTTGAGTGACGGTCGAAGGAGGTAGATTGATATTGAATGCGGGTAGAGTAATAGGAGATCCTTGATCGTGCACCGAGGTTTTGTTTACTCTAGTAAAGGACATCTGACTCTCCGCAGTTTGATCTGTTGAGACTTGACTAGTCTTATTGATGCCACCGGATACTCCAGGAACGCCTATAGTACTCTGCGGAATGTTGGTAGGTGGCGGATTAGCTGCCCATTGATAACTTTGGTTTACTTTAACTGGATCTGGTTTAACGGTATCCGCGAATGTTGACGGTGACACTGGAGTCAGATTTTTCGCCAGCGGAGGCATCTGATTTGTGGGAATCATAGGTCGATGAATTTCTTGACTGGATTGAGATGCAAAGGCAGCTGAAGGTGCACTGACTGCGATGTTCTGACGAGTACTAGCAGCATATTGGCTTTGGGCATTATAAGGATTTACAGGGCTATAAGGCTGAGAGGATGTTCTAGGTAATGGAGACAACACATTTGAACTCGGAGGTCCGTTTATTGGTGGCATTGGCGGCCGTGGCAGCTGAGGCCGATATTGATTGTGAAGATATTGAGTTGGCGATGGATCTCTAGAAGTTTCCCTAGATGGATCACGCGACGATTGCGATGATGGTGTGCCTACACATTTTAATCATCTCAATTTTTAGAACTTTCAAGATTAATATTCATAACATTATAATAATAGGAACTTAAAAATAAAATTTAGTAGTCTTTCTGATCTGCAGAATACTTTTTACATAAATCTATTATTTATTATTTTTATAATACAAAATTTTATACATTTAAGTGAACGACAAATCATTTTACATTAAAATATAAATGTACATAATGCTTTTTTTATCAGCTCTCATATAAAAATTTCATTTTTGTAAATACAAGATTGAAAAGTGAGATGAAAAATATTATTATACCAATTCATTTTTAATCATCTGAAATGTATTGCCATATTATGCACGTACAAAAGCCAAAATTAATAAAAATGCATCATATAAAAAAAATTAACTAAAAAATTAATAAAAAAATTATTAATATATGTTAATTTCTTTTTTCTTCTTATGAAAAAAGACTTGCCAGTTAGATTAAATTGAGGAGACTGCATTCCATTCTGCTGAGATGCAGGATTTTGTTGACCGTTCACTATAGGTGATAGATCATTCTTCAAGGGATTGTTGGATTCTGCGTATAGTGGATACTGGTAACCACTTGACTGTGACATTCTGATTCTTTAACAATCACTGAAATAAAATATATTATTCAGAAAATTCCCAAGAACATATTAAAGACATGAGATGTACTTTGAACTCTATATATATCATGTATAAAACAAAATAAGTAAATAATTGCCTGGGACAATAAATGGACAAGTATATTGAAAATTAATATTCAAAATATGAGATATATAATAATGATTTGATAAATCAGATGTTTAATTTCCATTGTAATTACTCTTGTGACAAAACGACAGAAAAAGAATTCAATTAAGCGGGACTCTTCCCAGCGCCAATAACAAGAGTTATATATTGTTAATTACAAATTAAGAGGTCCAGACAGCAGTTCACAAGCTTAAAGATATCATAGAGGTTGCAGAAAAGTTGCAATGAATTTAAGGTTAGGCAGATCAACACGAGAAAATTAGCCACGTCGGATCTTATCGCAGAGGCGATTACCGTCTTAATAATCTATAAGGAGAGAGGTAGATATAGATCAGCAGTTGACGTTTGGACCAAGTCAAAGCGCATTGTCAATGTGCCGGAAGGTTAAAACCCAGAGGATGGGCTGGACGGTCCCGAATGCCCCGCTTACCTTCGCAATGACGTGAATCGCCGTAAGTTAAGAACAGATCGACGCAGATTCGCACATTGCCCTCGTTGCAGCTCACCTCTACGCAGCACCGCGAGATAAGGGTTAATAGCAGAGATTCATGGAACGAACGTACAGCACGCACAACATTACGTGGCAGCTCGCACGACCACTGCGCCACGGCATGGATCGTGGCACGTGACGGTACCAAGTAACATCGCGAAACGCCAGGTCAACCGAAGTCGACGTCGACCCACGAGGATTCGGCGGACGTGACATCGATCAAACTTCAATTAATGTCCATTCTTACCGATACCTAGCTAACTTCGATTTTATTTATTCCTTAGAAAAAAAATGAAAAGTTAAATTGAGATTAAGCTACATTGGTAGAAATGGACACACCTTGTTAAATATGTGCTCCTGCGTACAATTAACATGATAAAATTTTTAATATATGAAAGAGCAGATTAAACGAGGAGCGAATTGTATAATTAAAAATTATACTCCAGCAATTCTACCGGTTGGATCAGTCCTTAATTTTTTACATCAATCAATTGGATTAATAATCAGTGCTTAGATGAAGATCTTCAAAGAGGAAATTCAATCGCAACGACGTGTACATCAATAGAATATATATTTCTCGATAAGTAAAATATGTTCTGTAATTTGTATGGATCAAGTTGGGAACAATTGATTTGGTCATTGGAGAAGTCAGCACAATTCTTTGGACTGATGGAAGATACAACAATGTGGGAATGGCAGCGCGCGCGAACGCGTCAACTTTTTAAGTGGGTCGTAATCATCGTCATTGTTGATCGTAGCTCGTTTCTCAGGCGGTGCTCAACGCCGCTCGCAGATTAGTGACCCGAGTCTGCAGTTCCAGAGTTTCCAGAGCAGCATTTTCATTTTTCTGCAGCCGCAAACTTTTGCAGGCATTGGCTAATCCGCAGCTTTTGAGATGCTCTTTCAGCTGATCTGAAACGGACAGTAAAATTATCAGCTAATCGAGTGTCGAGCAGTGATGTCTCTTTTCTTTCAGAATAGATCTTCAAAATACCCGATTGCAGAACACTATCCAGTAGAGATAGCGCGTTTAATACTATGTGTATGTCAAGATCATTGGCGCGCGCTTCGAAGAATTCGCACATGCTGCGACCGAAGCCCGCCTTGATCAGCAACTCCTCGGATTCTATCGGACAGATACTCATTAATATCGTCAGAGCCAAAATCGCTTCGTTCTGCATCACCGCATGCTGCGCTAGGAGCATGTCTACCAAGTGCTGCACTGCACCGTACTTGATAATTGACAAAGCAATCTGCTTATCCCTAAAAATGTGTATATAATGTTTTGAGAATTAAACGCCTTTAAACCATCGAGTACGAACCTGCTATTGTTTATTAGCCAGGCGATTAATCGATTGGCTTCACCCTGAACGCCGGGGTGATCTTCAATACTGCACCATTCAACTGTCCGCTTAATTAAATCCTCCTTTTGTCCTAAAGAGATCGCCGCTTCTCCTAAAGCAAGCAATTCAACCTCATTATACCATTCATGTCGAGTCATGGTAAATTTTATTCTCAAGAGAATTACTTTACTTTACTACTTACTTTGGCGATCTATGACCATCCTCAGCGTTCCTAACAATTTGAAGACGACGGGAAATGTGGGGATTTCTAACATCGGATAGAGAACGTCGATGAGACCATCGGCGAGTATTAGCGACTTGTTATCCGCGGGTATAACGAGATTGCGCAAGGCGCTGAGCAAGGCGTGCTGGCATCTAATATCGCCAGATTTCGTACCATTTTTTTCGAGGAGTTTCAATAGTTTCCGATGAACGCCTTGTTCGACCATATGCTTACAATGCGTGTCGGTTCGTGCAAAGTTAGCCATGGCCAAAACGGCGGTGATCTGTAAGTCATCATCAACGCTCTCCAGCCATTCAACCAGCTTCCTGTAGACAGAACCCTTGCTGTCGTCGTAAAGGAAATTCATGCTATCATCTAAGTAAAAGGTAGGTTTATTAAAATCGATGAAGCTTACGTTTAAACTTTCTTCCAAGAATCTCACCTCCAGTTAAAATCAAAACGATCAAGTTGCAGGCAACTTTAAGAATCGATCGCGTTTCTTCATCATTGCACTGTGGACCGTGTTTCTCTAGTAATTTCAAAAGCAATTCGCACACTCCTGCCTTGGCTAACAACAGCTTTGCTTTTTCTAAGAATGGAATTATGTTACTAAAGCTTATTACTTCGACTCAATCGCACATTCAAATCCAATTTCGTGAATTCACTCAAGTTTAATTATACTGAAATATTTTCATGTAATTTCCATAATTTTAATTATCAGATTATAACTTACCATCCTCCGCTTGGCCATGCAAAAGTTCTAGACACATCTCAGACAGCTCGGAAGATGTATCATTGGCCAAGTTATATCAACCAGAACTTTCGTCAACCTTTCATCAAGAAAAATAATATTCACATCGTTCAATATACTAAGAGTGAGTAATGCATGCACCGCTGCTTCCCCACCGCTGATTCCATCTTTATCCAAAATGCTACAAATAATTGGTATCATGTTCTCCTCGAGTGCCTGGTGAAGTACATCTAACGATTAAAATTATCGCTTACCGTTGCTTTTCATTTAACATAAATATGTTCAGAAAACACAAAGATTGAATGAACATTCGCTATTAGTATATTCTAGATTTAGTACAGATCTAAAAATCGATTATAATCACAGGCAACTATTACAGAACATTCACTCAAACACTTGTGTCTTCTGAATCTAATCAATATGATCGTATTATATTTACGCAAAAAACTTTACCTTCCTATACAATGTTTCCTGGTCCACCAAAAAATTCAATAAAAGTCCAGCGGCTACATCTCGTAGAAATCCAGCACCTTCAACATTATCCAAGGCAATCCCTTTTTTCAGTACCATTAAGATTATTCTCAAACCATCCTGTTCTCTCACCAAATTTTTACCATTCTCTGTAACATAAGCAATCACTTAGTTTGTCAATGACAGAATATTTGCATGTACGAACATTCAACATACAAGTATCTATTTAAATGTGCCAAAGTAAAGTCTTGAAACTTTACGATCTTCATTTATAAAGAACAGATAATTATGCAAGGTGGATTCTCTCATATAAATGTGACTATTGCAACAACCATTCTCATAGCAGATGTTTCCTAGTGCTCTAGAAGCCTGTGTCAGTATGTCAATGTCCTCTTCTTTCAGCAAATCAATTAATTTCCATATCAATTCTATGGTAGTACATCTCTCCCTTCCCTGATCAGTCTTTGTGATCTCCGCGATGGCTTTCGCAGTTTTCGCTACAATCTCTTTAGACTTATGCCCGAGCAGTATCAGGAAGACTTCATCAATGACTAATTCAGTAGCTTCTGAAATCATTCGTTATCTGGTAAAAATCTTACATGATGGTAACACCAAGTCGCATCAATCACGTCTATCACGGTTTATTTGTTATACCTCCGATCGATGTTTTGCTAACATTCACTACAGAATCCAATATTTGAACGATACCAGGACATTTTTCCTCGGAGACCTCAAGTCTCACCGCACACTTCAAATCATCAACGAGTTTATCGATGTTGTGCTTCACCTTGCCTGCAACATACATCAAGAGAGATATCGTCTTTCCTGCTTTTCCAAGGGATGAAATAAAACATGACAGGATAATTACCTTCCGTTTCCATCATGCAAATTCGCGTCTGGTAATCTGCAGAACTCAGCCCAATTCACCGAAACTCGGCACTTCCCTTGCGATCCTCCAAAGTACAAAAGAAAACGATTCCACGCAAACGGACGTTCCTATCTCAATGTAGAATCGACTTTCTTCACTCTGAAATCATCGTAACCGGGCATTCTCTTCGTTCTAAGATCACTCTCAGTCACCCTTGTTATTTCAATAGCACATGCGCGAAACGAAAATATCCTTCTCTCGCTTTCTCTCTCTAACCTATGGTCACATGGCAAATGTGAATTGTCAGGGCTTTAAACTTTTTCGATCAATAAGATAACCGCAATCGGTAAGATTAGTTACCGTCGGTAATCATCGGCGCTTCCTCGTGTTACCGACGTCATATAATTTTTTACGCGATGTTGAAAGTGCCTAGTATTCACGCTAGGTTAACTTTGAATGGTGGTGAATGTTTGAGAGGCAACGCTTTAAAAATGACGAATATCTTCGGTTGACATTTTCGTAACGTGATGGCAGAATCGAACGATATTGTATCCGTTGCGAAATCTACAAAACAAAAAGAAAAAATATATGGTAAATTAATTCAAGAGTTACATCATTGAATATTTTATTCGCGTTGCTTGCTACAACTTAACCTCATTTCTGCGTTTTTTACCGGTCATAGCGCATCATAAACATAACAGAAGTTATATGATTTATTTATAAGCATCGATTCAATTTTAATTTACTTATTTTACTTTGCTAAGTTGTATAACCTTTGTAACTTCACACTTTGCATTTAACATGATTGGAATGTTTCAGTGACTTGATAATGTCACGACAAAATTTTTTTAATTGCAAATTGTTTCTTATGCTGTGCTGACTGTGCAAAATTTAAAACTTCTGATCTGATAATTATCACATTTTGCATTATCATGTGTCGCAGGTTCATCGATTAAACATAGGATTATTTCATATACGAACTCAATTATTTTATTTTCTATACATTTCCATTGAAATTTATAAAAGATTTATATTTATATTAATTAATACTTGTTTAATAAAAGTATTATTATTTCTGTAGCTGCAGTATTTCTGAGCACTGTTGCAAGCATTTCTGCTCTTGCTGGCTTTACCAGATCACTGGCAGTAGCCAGGAAGCAAGATCCAAAATCCTTTGGAGATGGAATTTCTGGTATCAAAGGAGCCCGTGAAACAGGAGCCTCATTAGCGATAAGAGCTCTTGGTTGGGGTACATTTTATGCTATTACAGGATGTGGTTTATTTTTTTATGGAATCTGGAAGCTTTCTGGAGCTACTAATGCAGAGGAATTCAGATTCAAAATGGGTTCCATGCTACCAAAAATACCTAAGAATGATCCACCCCAAAGCAGGACAGAATTCAAAGGCTTGACAGATCTGCTACTGTACATTTCTGAGGAATGGGGACAAAATAAGGGGGTAATCGGCATAACTCGATATATTTCAATTTTTGCAGAAGTATAAAATGTTTGAAGCAGAATAAAAATATTCAGAATTAACATACCAGTTCATACAAAAAAATATTCAGATTTCTCAAGTCTCATAAATTCTCAATCTTTTTTTTAAAAAAGAATGTTTTAAATTCTTAGTTATTATATTAATTATTATAATAACAAAGTTATTTAACAGAAAATGAATCTAATTGATTTTTTCCTCTATCTTTGAAAAAATCGATCTATCGATAATGACATGATTATGAAAACATAAAAATCATCCGAGCCGATAATTTATTCCGATTTTTTTCCAGGAATAATGCGAATGCGCATCTTATTATGACTATGTACATTGACCGCTGCTAATATAGAACAGCATGCAAATCGCGTAATCAGTCGCGGATCGTACGATCGTACGATCGCGATTACATATGATTGCATAGGTCACGCACGGATGTACCGCATGTACGAGAGCATGAATAATAAATATTGGATGGCCCGCAAATCGTATGATGCCGTAAATTAAATCGTCGCGAGTTGACTTGTAGAAGAGAATTTTGTATATTTATTGAACTTATATATTTATTTAATAAAAATTATAAAACGTTATTACTTTCTTCATTTTACGAACAGAATAGTAATGCGTTCCGATGCATCCGATATAAATTTTTTTTTATCATGTATGCGTGATTACATTGACCAGAGAAAAAGATAGTCGATTTTAAAATGAGCTATTCCTCTTTGAGGTTTTTTTTCCGTGATGATTTAATTCTATTCGTTTTTATTTGTGAATTTTTGTTCGAGATCGCTAAGTTTGCATTTATATCTGATAAATTTAAAAAAAAATTGTTGACTTATGGAACATTATTTATTACATTGATTTATTGATAAAAGATAGATTTGTAGATAAGCTTATTTTAGTAAAATCACGTATGTGACAGAGTGCACGTTTTGTTAGTAAAAAAAGAAGTCATTTAACAAATTTAGTAAGCGTGGCGATAATGTTACATGAAAAAAAGATTATACAAACTTGCTATCTGTGCAAGATAGATCACGTTAAAGGCACGTGAAATTTGATATGCATGAAAAATAATAAAAGATACAAAAGTGATCTTGAAATATGGTAAATTGCATAAGAGGGAACGACGTAATGGTAAACAAACAACGAGTGTTTAAAAAATGCAAAGTATGCATTATTACAAACTGTCAACTCGTATTCATGAACAGAAAATAATATTTGCATCATTTTACCCCAAAACCATTATCTATTGAAAGATAACATTAAAATTCGTAGTTGGAATGGAAAACAATATTATTTAATACTTGTGTAAATATATATAAATCGCATACTCCTTCACAATTAATTTATTAA